TGGGAAAATATTGTGTGCCATGAACTTTTCTTCTTGTTATACTAAAACATTATCACTGTTCATATTTTTTTCCTTTAAATTTTTTTTTGTTTTTGCTATAAGACCACCAACCTTAAATTACTAACTCTCTCTCAGGGGCACCAAAGAAGTTATTTAATGTTTGTAAAGTCCTCTGAAAAATATACATATCTGCATGAGTGCAAAGTATAATTATTAGTACCTGGCTTGAATGTTTCAGCACCCTGGCAAAACCTTCAGTATCAGATAACACATTTTTCTCATATCCTTTGCTTTTTTCCTTTCACTCATCACTTCTCTGTACCTCAACCTCTGCTTCTATACTTAACATTTCTGTGGTTTCAATTTCCCCATTTTCCTAGTCTCTCCGTTCCCCTTCCACTCTGCTTCTTCATATTTTAGTCTCCTGCAGCGATGATCACAGTGAAAAGTCATACTCCACAGTCTTACATGTTGTATACCCAGCACAATGTTGTATCATATGGGAGCATAACACTTCAACCACCACAAAGGTGCCAGCAGATTGATATATTTCAATGGTGTAACGCTCAAAAGAGTGAGAAGCCTAAACATGAACTAAAAAGATAATGAAAACAGAGGCACAGACGACAGCCATGACAGGTTGAATTCCAGCACAAAAGACGCTGGATCATGCCTGAGAAATATCCAAATGCAAGAAACAACATCATGTAACCCTAGTACAATACCTAGCTCTTCTACAGCATTTTTCATCTTTAGATCTCAAAGTGAAATCAATATCAAATGGGGAAATTGAGAAACACAGAAGGAAGTGATTTGCTGAGGATCACACTGGAAGCCAGTGACTGAATGTGGAGCCTAATCCACTAGGCAATATTGCCCCCGTAAGTGCCCTAGAATGTGTTTCCATTTCCCTTGTTTCTATAACCACCAAAAGTATATGGCCTTCCACTCCTTGTGGAGCTGTATGGATGTACAACTAGGATGGTGGGATATTGTGAGTAGTCTCCCTTGCCCACATTTATATTCCCATTATAAATGTGATCCCCGAATCCTGAAGCAAAAATAGGACTATAAATCACTGTGCACAGTAGTAATGCTTATAACCAGGAAAATCCACAGCTGTTCAGGATGGAAAAAGCCTATTAGATCATCTTGTCCAATTCCTGTATGGTGTTTTTTTTCTAGTTTTGAATAATTCAAACAATGAGGCTTCCTTCCACCACTTCCTTTTGAAGACAGTCATATGTGAGTATATGCACTGGACAATAATATGAAAGTAAATTTTAGGGCTCCAAAAGACAGCCTTTGAGTTTCCAAAAAAATGACAGTAGCTCTTTATAACAATTACTAAAGACATTTTAAAGACCCAGTGGGGTGGGAAGGAAGATACCTATCAAAAGTTAGTAATCTGCCTCACAATGCCAATATTGCTGTTCAGCCATATGTAATCAATAACATCACCAGCAGTATTTGACAGTGCAAAACCAGCCCTCATCTGATTTTACATATACATAATATACAGCTCTGTCCCTGTTATCAGTGTACATTGTGCTGAGCTACTGGAAACCCAGTGAAATGCTTCCATCCATCTTTCACTTGTCACATAACGGTTATTTAGAGATAATACATAGACTTCTGTTGTCTTACTTCCTGCCTAGGGCACTGTCTCATGATTATAATCTGTCCACTCAACCCTTTAGTAACAGCAGTCAAAGTGACACCTGATGTGTCACACTGTTTATATTTCACACAGAAAAAAAGAGATGCTTTGCCAACTCTTCTTAATTTTTTGGTTCTAAAAGAAACATTGATATTAATGTAATGCTAACCACAAGCCATTCTGTTCCCTCCTGGATTGAGCACTTATGTAGCCTTGAGAACATTGATTCAGATTTTCAAGGCCAAACTCATTTTAGAGATGAAGGATGGGCTCATGGTGAAGTCACTATACTGGCTCTCTGGAGATGTGAGTTCAACTCTTGGCGCTGCTGGAGACTTCCTGTATGACTTTTGGGCAGTCTCTTAATCTCTATATGGTATTGTAAAACAGTGATAATAGTTTTCTTCCTACCACTTGCCTGCATTGGGGCTGTAAACTGTCCAGGGCTGAGAGTATGATCTATTATGTGTGTGTGGAGCACAACAGACTTGGGTTCAAGTCCCTCTGCCACAGATTTACAGTGTCACCTTGAACAACTCACTAACGCCAAGATTTTCAAAAGTGATCAGTGATTTTTTTAGATGGTGGGCGCTTGACAGTTTCTAAAAATTAGATAGCTTAATGGAGTCTCAAACTGGGAACCACAAAACCGAGGCACCGAAAATTAGAGCTGCTCAGAATTTGTTTTTACCAAGATATATTTCCAATAAAATTTCAATTTGGAAAAAAAAAAACTCTAAAAAACAGTGAACTGTTTTTTTTTAATGTCAAAACATCCCATTATTGTCAGAATAAAAATGTCCAATTTTGGTCTCAAAATGATTTTTGAAAATGAAATTCACTTTTTCATATCAAAATATTTCAAAGGGTAAAAAAGTTAAAATTGGAAAACAATGTTTTGATCAACCCCAAATTAATTGTTTTTGGAATTTTGTTTTATGAGAAATTTTGAAATTGTTTGTTATTGTTCAGTTTTGGAATAAAAAAATTGAAATTGCAGAATTTTTCACAAAACAGAAAATCTGATTCTCATCTAGCTCCACCTAATATTACTTGTCAATTTTGAAAATGTTGGCCTTAGTCTCTGTGTCTCAGTGTGCCATCTGCAAAATGGCGTTACAGTACTTCTCCACCTCTCATGGATATTGGAAGGTTTATGGTAACCGGGGCCTTATAAGCACCTCAAATAGACAAACAATCTCAGCTGGAATCTTTAAGCATTACAGTATCATAAATAATATTAATATGTTTTTCAAATTTCTCCGTGTGTGTTCAAATTAGGATAGTCCCGTGTATCTTGATATATATACACACATGCACAAACCCCAGTTTGCTTACACACTTGGATAGATTTCAGAGTAGCAGCCGTGTTAGTCTGTATCCGCAAAAAGAACAGGAGTACTTGTGGCACCTTAGAGACTAACAAATTTATTAGAGCATAAGCTTTTGTGGGCTTATGGGTTGTAGCCCACGTACAAGTGGGTTGTAGCCCACGAAAGCTTATGCTCTAATAAATTTGTTAGTCTCTAAGGTGCCACAAGTACTCCTGTTCTTTTTGATTAAAAAAAGAGACGCCTAAAAACCTGCTGCTGTCTATTTCTATCCCTCTCCCCACTTCTACAGCACCGTGCAGCCAGCCAGGCTCTCACCGTACACACAGTACTAATTACACCCACATGCTGCCCGAAGCATTTTACACCTGAGTCAGTCAAGCAGGTAGAGCAGGATGAAGGACTTGCCCCACGTCACAGCGAGCCCACGGCAGAGCAGGGAACGGAGGAACCCGACACCCGCCCCTGCCCCTACCCCATGCTCTGGTCACTCGGCGGGGCCGGGCAGTTCTCCAGGTTACACTAGCTCCAAGGCACCTCGCCGGGGGAGGGGAAGCCTCTCTCAAGGGGTGAGCCGTACCATTAGCAAGGGAGCGGGCCGTACCATTAGCCCATGATGCTGCCGAGCCAATGGGGGGCGCCGGCCCTGGGGAGGGAAGGACAAGGCCATAGAGACCGGCCAGGCCCCCCAGCCCTTAGAGGGGAGCGGGGCTGCATTGAGACCCCCATAACTTGCCGCAGCTAAT